AAAAAAAACAAAAAAAAAAAAAAAAAAAAAAAAAAAAAAAAAAAAAAAAAAAAAAAAAAAAAAAAAAAAAAAAAAAAGAAAAAATCTTTTTTATTTTCAAAATGAACATCATAGAATTTATCATAAAAAATATTAATAATCAAACTTGCATATTCAATCAAGAAGTCGCAAGGCTTTTGCAGCCCTTTATCATGGATGGAAACTTAGACTTCCCCATAATGAACGCAGAAACGATTTACAGAAATATATCATATAATAGACCCCATCCTAGGATTAAACTCATAAGAATGAGAGGGATCCTGCGTTCCTTAGTTTCAGCTACCAACATAACGACTAATGAATGTGCTGTTAGTAGGGCTACGGATATGTTGTTGGGAGCTGCTACTGTTCAACAAAGGACCGTTTTGAAAACTTTAGCTAATGAAGTCAATGAAATAATCAAAAGTTATCAATAATAACTTTCCCCATTGTAAATTTAAAAATAGACTATATTTTCTTTTTTTTTTCTTTCCTTTTAAAAAAATCTTGTTAAAAAAAATTCACTTTTGTAAATTATTTTCACTTTTCTTTTTTTTTTTCAAAAAATTATATCGATTGTTTCTTAAAGTAATGTGGTGTTATTGATCGTCCCTTACCTTTATTTCCACCCGTAAATATTATTTTTTTCCTTATAGATTTTTATCGTTTACATTTTTACGCATCGATTTGTTTCTAAATGTTTTTTTTTTTTTTCCTTGTATTTAACTTAAAAAGCTTTCCTTTCGTAAATTAATATTCGTTAATCGTTAAAATTTTCGTACCTTTACTTTTCTGCGGTTATTCTTAGAATACGGTTTTTTTTTTATTTATTTGAGATAAATAAATCGTCAGAAGTTCGGATCACTTCTCGTTTCTTTCGTCATTGAATGATGTCATAAATGTTATATTTACGCTAAAACAAAATCAATCGTAAAATCAAATGAAAATTTATCACAACGTTATTAAAAGCTTATAATTAACCTTTAAATTTGAAATTATTGTGTTGTTACTAAAAATAATTTCGTCCATGTAAATTTTAGTTAGACTTTGTATTACCAATATTATGTAGCCAAAATGTCACCTGGTCAAATCGTTTAATATGATGTTTTTTTTTCTTGAATTATCATTCTTTTGGATATACAAAACTAATATTTTATTTATTTTATTTTTTATTTTATTTTGATTCTTTATTTTATTTATTAGAATTTTTAATAATGGATAATAAAATCTATTGATAACATGACTTAATATGTTATAGTAATATATCATCTATTAATTTATGTTTTTTAAGTTTGTTACTAATCAAAAATTTTTATATCTGCGATTTGCAGTAGACAGCCAAAAAAATTTTATTTGAGTTAAATCTGAATTTATTTTACCAAAAAAATAATATTTAGCTTAAATTAAAAAAATTTTTTTTTTGGTAGTTTCCTCCCTTTCTAATGCAAAGCGCTCATATGTTTAACCCATTACGAACTTTTGCAATTTGTGCACCGAGTTCTGATATGTATTGATAAACATTCCGAGTGAATGAATCATAGTTACCGTAATATTTTAAGTTTGTGGTGATGGATAGCGATAATGATAAAAAAAAAAAAGCTTCGAATATGGAACAACTTATATAGGCAATTTCGACGTGTGATCAACGATAGTGCTCCGTAAGGGTCGGGTCGGGTCGGGTTTAAGGCATATTCGAACTCGAACCCGTTAATAATCACAGAACCCGAATTCGACTCGAATTTTCAAGGGTAATATTAATGCCGAAAATCATATAAAGTTTATTATTTTTTTTTTTTTGTGAGCATTAATTCAAATTCCTTTTTTTTTCACCAGAATTTCAAGCACATACAGGCAAATTGTATTTAGCTTTAAGATCACATCTTTTGGTCGGTTCCGCCAGAAAAAACTCGTTCTACTGGAACAATTGTTGATTTATAAAAAAAAATGTATGTTAATGTTTAATAATTTTTTTTATTTTAACTGTTATTGTTCACTCCGCAATGCTTTTCATTTTCTAGAAAGTTGTACTGTAACTTCAGTATGTTTATTTTTTTTATTATTTATTTGTTACAAATTAAAGTCGCATAACATAAAACAAAAAAAAAAAGCCTAGCGTGTCTGATCATCCGGGTCACACGGGTCGACCCGGGTCAGGCAACAACGTGACCCTGACCCGGCGGGTTTTTTTGAATTAGGACTCATGTCATAAAAATGATAGTCCCGACTCGAGAAAAAATTCGAGTCGGGTCAAACGACCCGGGTCGACTCGATCGTTTCGGAGCACTAATCAACGAATTAAAAATCATGGTAACGAAGATATATAATTTAAATTAAAGAATCATATTAAGGATATAATGAAATATTGATTGTTCTCATTAGAAAAATTATTCTTCTAACTTTTTAAGGATGTTAATTTATTGAGAAAATTATTCCTCAAATATATCAACCGAAGAATTAACATTTAAGCGCATAAACTTGTTACTTTTAAATTAGTTAATAATGTATAATAATTTTGTGATCAAAATGGTTTAAGATTATTAATTTAGAATTTTTTTTAAAATGTCAAATAATAAATAAATATATATTTTTTTTTCAGGCTTAGAAGTGAGGTGATGCGCCGCTAAAACAATTATTATTATTATTTTTTTTTTAACGAAAATAAAATCACGCACTGATCAAAATTTATTTTAGGTACTGAAATTCAATCATTTGACCCCAAAATTATGAAAAAAAATTCATATATTTTTACCCGGTAATATATTAAACTAAGATTAAATCTGAAGAATTCAAACTCGATGCAGCGTATATGTTATTTTCTCTGAAAAGCAGATTTTGATTTCTTTAAACATTCATAATTCTCCTATAATTGAATTAATTTTATTTCAAATAAAAAAAAAAACTAATAATTTATTTACAATACTAGTTACATTTTGAGTATTTTCTCCTAATTTAAATTGTAACTTTAAATACCACAATTTAAATGTCTCATTATTTTTTTCAAAAATAACTTGACCATTAGAATTAGTATTTCAAACATCGTTCAAATGCTTTTTCTTCATCTTTATATTTTCCAATTTCATATTCATAAAACGTCCCAAACTATTTTGACCACCAGGATTTCCATTTTCAGCGGATTTCAAATACCATTCAAATGCTTTCTTTTCATCCTTATCTGTTCCAACTCCATATTCGTAACAATGTCCTAAATTATTTTGACCATTGGAATTTCCATTATAAGCTGATTTCAAATACCATTCAAAAGCTTTTCCTTCATCTTTATTCGTTCCAATTTCATATTCGTAACAACATCCCAATTTATTTTGACCATTCGAATGTCCATTTTCAGCAGATTTTAAATACCATTTAAAAGCCTTCCTTTCATCTTTATGTATTCCTTTACCATATTGAAAACAACGTCCTACGTTGTATTGTGCTACAATATTTCCTCTTTTCGCAAATGCTCGATACTGTTGATATATGGACTTTTCATCTGGATTAATTTTTATCCCATATTTGTAGTTCATATCACTAGATTTATACATTTCAGATTTATTTGAATCATCTCGTTGTTCTTGTAATTCTTTGAATTTACTTTTATTATCTTGAATTGCGTCCATATTTTATTTCGTTAAGGTTGACATTGAGCATTTCTTTTATCTTTTAAGGAAATCTTTGATCTAAACGGTTATGTATAATAAGTGAAGTGATTTGCAGTCGATTACATCATTACATCACGATTACATAAGATTACGTCTATTATTGTTAATCAACATTTGACAGTGAAAATAAATTTTCGAAAGTTTCTTTTGGATCATAAAGCTAAATAAACAAGTTATTCGATTTATCATCATCATCAAGAGGAATTCCAAATAAATTGTAAATCATTATATTAAATTATAAAATAGTATTATTTGGATGACGAAAGTATCACCATCATTACGCCATAAATGTCATTCTGATTTTCTGATTGCATAATAATTTTTGAATATTAGGTAATCAGCACCAAAGAATTTATTGTCAATCTAAAAATTTTTGTTAATATTTTATATAATATTTTACTTTAAACTAAATGTTATAAGAAATCTCGAATGAGCAAACTATTTATTCCGCATACAAGAAAGTGGATAATTTCTTATGACATCATGAATGTAATTATTCATCAATCTAGATTCCTGTTCATTAATACGTATTGTGCAATGGCGTAAATAAAGATATAAACTAAATTTTCATTTGGAGGATTTAAAAAAACCCGACCCAAAAATATTATCCCTCAATCTTATTAGTTTAATGATTATTAATTTACTAAGATGTCACAAACGACTAATCATATTTTTTTTTTTTTTTTTTTTTTTTTTTTTTTTTTTTTAACGATGTTATTAAATTTATACAAAAGAGATACAAAGTAAATCAAATAAATCTAGACTAAGTACTAGCTATCCCCCGTAGTTATATTACAAACCCGTTTGAATTGACTGATCATCGTCTTCCCCCTACAACAAATCCACTAAGTTTATACCTAATGAAGAGTGCTATCAACAAGAGAAGAAAAAGAAAGAGTAAGTGCCTATCTAAAAATCCGTAAAGGCGTAGCCGAATTTATTCGCCATGTGTAACCAAGATTCCCAATTATATGTAGGCCTTGATGTCTCTTCATGTCTCAAGAATGAACTGGCATCTCATTTAGTCTTATCTTTGATTGTGATACCTAATGAACGTTCTTTTACTATCATTAGATTACAATAGTGTTTCCAAACATCCTCAAATAATTTTTGTTGAAAAATTATCAAGGTTTGAGTGATGATTGAGAAACATTGACCCTTATTCCTGATGATTTTGTGAACTATGTCTATTAAAGAAGAAGGAATGAGAGAATGAATAATATTGATTTAACCATCTGTTCTAGATGAGGGGTGGCTAGGATATCGTTTAGAATGTTTAGTAATTCAGGAAGAAACTCAGTGAGTTTGGAAACATTCAATTCTGTAAGGTGATAGATTAAATCATCTTTGGTTGTTTAAATAATATTATATAATCTTGTAGCATAAGCAGGACTAGTACTCCGAGCCGGTCGAGTCGACCCGGGTTGATCGACCCGACTTGAATTTTTTCTCAAGTCGGGTTTATCATTTTTATGACACGAGTCCTAATTCGATAAAACCCGTCGGGTCAGGATCACGTTTTTCTTTGACCCGGGTGACCTGGGTGACCCGGATGATCAGTGATCTAAATTTTCGTAATATAAATTACGTGCTAGACTAATTTATGTTACGCGACTTGAATTTGTAAACAAATAATATATAATGAGTGAAACTATAGACATTACCAA